ATGGTAGTGCATATCAGCTCACTAGGTATGTTAGCTATTACCACCTATCTCAGAAGTTAAGAAGAAGATATAAGAATGGATTGAAGAAAGCCAAAACTCAAGCCTTAAAGAAAAGAGAAAAGGAGAAGACTTACTAATATTTTATCCAGTGCATCTTTTCAGCCACTCACAGGAAAACTCTACACATACTTCAACACCAAGGTACGCTCGCACACATCTCATTCTCTTGCTGGTGAAAATGGCTAACAGGCACCAGAAAACCTTCATTGCACTGCTGGGCATTTTCATGGTCGGCTCTTTGGTTTGTGCTTCGGCATTTAGCTCGAAAATGCTCATTGTTGCACGGGCATTGGCAGGCATCGGAGCTTCAGGTATCCAAAACGGTGCCTTGACAATTATTACGAGATCTTTTCCCGCGGAGAAACAAGCACGTATGCATCAGACCATCTTGACTCATTTTTGTAATATCACTAATCCTGCTTTTCAATAGCCATGACGGCCATCTTGCTGGCGAGTGAGTAGGCCAATTTCATACAGCTGGGGGTATTTCCTCTGACCCGTGATTTTCTAGTTGCTCAGCTCGGCCTTGTCCTCGGACCATTGATTGGAGGGGCGCTAACAGAGTATGTATCATGGCGATGGTGTAAGTACCCTCTCTCTGTGCGTGTCTCTTTGCCTGGTATCTCTTACCTATTATACATCTTGTAGGCTTCTACATCAGCCTCCCAATCGGCGGCGTCATTATTCTCGTCTTGCTTTTCGTCACTATCCCAGAACCGAAAGCTACGAAAGACCCTCTGCCAACCCTTCACATCATCCGAGAGAGATTAGATCTGATCGGATTCTCCATTTTCGCACCGGCCATCATACAGCTCCTTCTGGCACTCGATTATGGCGGAAATCAATATCCGTGGAATAGCGCGACAGTCATTGGTCTGCTTTGCGGCTCAGGCGCCATGTTCATTCTGTTTCTGGGGTGGGAGTACCGCACCGGTAGAGAGGCCATGTTCCCTCTCTACATGGTCTCTCAGCGAATAGTTTCTTGCTCCTGTCTCTTCATGTTCTTCCTCGGCGGTATGAATGCCTGCGCAACATATTATCTTCCTCTTTACTTTCAAGTGGTGAAAGGAGTGTCCGCGATGATGAGTGGCGTTTCTACACTCCCGAGCATCATCAGTCAGTTGACTCTTGTCATTTTCTCTGGGTTTTTAGGTAAGGAGTTCCTCTCACCTCCGCAAAGAGCATTGGTTCTGAAAGCCGTACAGTGAGGAAGGTGGGCTACTATCTTCCGTTCAGTATCGGTAGCGGGGGGCTATTATCACTTGGAAACGGGTTGCTATCTCTTCTCTCATTATCGACACCAACAAGGACATGGATTGGATACCAGATCCTGATCGGAGCTGGGCGGGGTCTAGGTACTCAAGCGGTGAGTTCACCAATTTTTGGCAAACTTATGCATTTATACTAACATATGGGTGTAGCCCCTCCTTGCGGTCCAAAACATCCTCCCCAAAGCCGAAACCTCCATCGCTCTTTCTCTCCTCCTTTTTAGCCAAACTCTGGGCCAGGCAATTTTCCTCACCCTAGGCCAAGTCATCTTCATCAACAGCTTGAAGTCCGGCCTGGCCGTATACGCTTCGTCCGTGGATTCCGGAGCCGTGATTGCTGCTGGGGGTGGAGCGATCCGGAGCACAATTTCGAAGGATAAACTGACAGGAGTGTTACTGGCTTATACTCAGGGGATAGACCATGTTTTTTATTTGTCGGCTGCTATAGGTGTCGGCTGTTTCTGTGCGGCATGGGGAATGGGGTGGAAGGATATAAGAAAGCGCCAGCCTACAGGGGATGAGGAGAAGTGTAGTTAGATTTACCAATGTGCCGCATCTTTGAGTAAGCAGGTTGCTTCTCGATACCACTCTACATAGCTAATTACTAAGTGCGGTAAGAGGATAGAGAATGCGGCCACGGTTGTCTGCAGTAAGGGCAGTTGGCCATGGAGTCTCTTTCATAGAGTTCCTCATGCCACGAATCAATGCAGTGGAAACAAAAACTATGGCCACACTGCGTCTTACACCAGACGGGCTTCTTCCCCAGCTTTCCGCCGCAGATCGTGCACTCGGTCTCCTCGGTCCGCCGGGGGATGGGTCGTTTTTCTACGTGCAGCCGTGCGACGTCTGTGGGCTTCAGGGCGGCGCGTATCAAGGCTTCAATGGCGGCGTGCGCGCTGCAGCTGGTCACCCGCGCCAGCTCTCTGGCAATGCCTTTGGCCCGGGCCCGGTCGTAGGTGTGGAGCCTCCGGCGCGAATCGTTCAGTCTCCGGAGCCCAGCTCTCCTCGCCCTGTCGAGGGAACCACGCATATAGGCCCACGTGAGGCAGACATGCTCGAGCATCTCCCGGATCTCAGCCATGAGCCAGTCCTCTTCCAAGTCGTGGATGACGTCCACGACCTCCGAGCAGAAATGGAGAAACTGGGGGACGTCCTGATCTTCCAACTCGAAGACCCGGTCTTTCGGGTCTTTCGCCCGCTCATGCAGCAACTGCAGGAACAACCGCTGCATGTCAACGGCCAGCAAGTCGAGATGAAACACCACGAAAGGCATTGCCTCATCTGGTTGTACATCGAGGTTGCGGTATCTACCCTGCAAAGGCATGGTTGTTCCAGAGTAATGGGGACGGTGAATTTACGCTACGAGATGAGTTCCCTCAAGTTGACGGCCGGGGAGGGGCTGTTTTCCCCGTATCACGGTCAGGTTAATAGTATTTATTCTGATCTTTGAACATAGATGACCCACTGGTCGATCATTCTTTCACGGAGCATCTTTATCTAGATGGTGCATTTCTCCGCTTATGCTTTGACGCGACTGTTTCACCAGAAGCCCCTCAATTAAGAGAAGTCGGGGGTTTCCCTCTAGATCGGCCGGCACTTGTTGCAGTTCACTCTTGGCCTTTCCTTTCCTGTGTGAACTCACTCTACTTTTGGGAATGGCAAAGGCCATGTTGTGGTATGCTTGCTTTTATATGCTTTAGGATTCCAGCCACGTGATGCGGAGGAGTCCACCTTTCAAAGCTTTCTTTCAGGCTTCCTTTCAAAACTCCCTTCCCTCTCTCCCACTAACAGCAATGAAGGACACCAAATCAGCATGGGGTCTCCAAGATCATTCCTTTCATAAGATCTCATCCTTTTCAAATCTTAATTGCTCCTGTATCTCGTACGGCTTCCGAGTGACGGTGTTGAGACCCAGGCAGTATGCGGCCACCACCCTAATAAAGCTTATCATCCACAAAGCTGGTCAATGTGGACCGAAACTGGGTTTGGAGGCTGGTAAGGCTTGTCGTTCTCCCTTTGTGCTCGTACTGTGTCCACACGGAAACTCGGTCAGGTCAAAATTTGAAAGACAAGCCTCCGGGAAGTACGATGTATCCGTTCTAACCAGAATTCATTGTTCGTCACCATCTCAAATAAACGCGCAGCATTCGTCCGCGAAGTCAAGGAGATGCCTTTCGACTACGTCTATTCAATTGCACTCTGCAATCTTCTCAAGAATACAATGTGTCCTATTACTGAATCATGTCTCTGGGTTTCTCTGCCAATTTGAGCCCCGTAGAGCTCATTGAGGAATACAGTCGGATGCTCCCAAGTGCTACAACAACCATCAGCCATGATTGCGACTATCCCCCCCACCCCCAGGCTCCAAGCAACGGGACTGGAAGCCTTACCCTTTGAGATCGGCCTACATATCATCTCTTCTTGTTCTTGAAATCGCAACCGTTCTGACGTTGTCGATCCTCCTCGCCATATCAGAAAGCCGTAATGGCTTACTATCCGTTCAACATCTACTGGGCCGAGACAAGGGACCCAGCGGCATGCTGCAGAATCTTTGGAGTGCAGCATATCTGTGGACTACGTACTAAATCATTGTGATACTGTCCTTTATTGTGGTATGCAGCATCATTCTGTAATATTATCACCAGCGTCACCGGTCGGTACTATGGGAGGAGCCCGTCGGGCTGCTGGGGGCCGCAGGGCTGCTGTACGAGGGAATTACGAGCAGGTTTATAACAATTCGATTGTTAACAATCCCGATATTGCCCGTGTCAGGAGGCACCATCCGGCTGCCACTCGGATCGTGAAGCTCGCCCTCATTAACCCCGTGTATGCCTTGTACACGGCCGCAGTGGATGAGAGGATGAAGCTGATGGTTTCTGCGTCTGGTTGAGATCTGGATGATATGATGTGGAATTCTAAGTCTCGTGCTTCGGGGGCTCTGTGTGAATTGGTTGCCGGTGCTTTAGGTGATTCGAACACGAACCGGAGCTAGTTTCGAGGATTAAGAGTGATAAGATGAAAACAAGTCGAATGATGACAGTCATACCAGGATCTGTCTGGATTGGTTGAGAATGAATAGGACAAAATGTCCGCTGAGTGGATCGACCTAGTCTACTCTTGCGCTCAAGGCCTCACTCATGTTCAGAACTACTCGGGTAGGTAGCACCGGTACTGTACTTGTTAATTAATCTATTTTGCGGGCCCAAGTCCAAGCTAGTGGTCGATGGAGTGGCTGCATGCCGATCTGATGGTCGGCATTAGTCTCGGGTGGTCCAGCAACTGACAGTCACAATCCCACTCACTATGTATAACACGCGTGCTATACAGCCACAATGGGTGAACCTTCCCCCCAGCTACGTGTTAAGTCTATCGTAAGTGGATACAAGGGTCGATACTTGCATTAAGTTCAGTACGTACGATGCAGCCTTCGCAATGGCCGCTACCCTGGATCGTCATGGGCGACCAATCAAGGGCGATGCCAGGCCTGACACATGAACCGGCTCATCTAAGCATGACGCTATTCTCGGTGCCCCTTTGACCCTCAAAAATTGGGAAAGGATTGGTAAGGACTGGGGCTGACTTCATAAGTGATTCTCGGGGTGGAAGGTTTACATAAGACGGAGATCCGCCCTGGAAATTATCTCGTGATGACATCATCGTTGCATCAACGATGGCCACACGGAGCCGCAGTATAAGAATCTCCCCACAAACGCAGCCCTACCCCAGTCAAGCTACTTTGAATATATTATCTCTATACTCTTAACTCGATTCTAGCAAGCAAACTTTGGGTTGTTCCATTTGCAAATTACCTTTCCAACGCAACTTCTCACGAACCTCCACACGAACTCCACAAACCTAACCCACATATCGAACACGAACACAGCCGATTCTCCAATACTATCGATCATCGCAAAGTGACGAAACCCACCAAGATGTCGTACAACTCCTCCCAAACGTCCTACTTCGAGTCCTCGTCCTCATACTCCTCTTCGTCCTCGTCAAACGACCAGAACCAACAAAACCCTCAAACCCAAGAATCCGGCCACCGCGCGGCCTTCGCCTCGCACACCGACCCCCAGGGCAACACCACCGTCCGCACCGGCCACCAGAACCTGGGCGAGGAGCCTGTCCTCAAGGAGAAGCGCTTCAGTACCTCCGGGCACGAGCGCGAGATGATGTTGGCGGCGGGGACCCCCATGGGCGGGGTCAATCGGATTCAGGATCTGAATGAGTCGACGGGGGATACTTACTGATCATCCGGGATTTTTATCAGTGGCTGGTGAATGTGTTTTCCGGGGGTGATTTTTTTCCGAGAGGTGGTAATGTTTTCGGGATATGAGACACGTCCGCCGCTGCACTGTTATAATCGACTTGATACAAGCTATTGATGAATCATATGATATGAATGTATGGCTGGGATTTCTTTTTTTTTGTGGCGGGTGTTGTTGGGATATATCATGTCTGGATTGTTTTAATTGGTTAGATAGGTCTATGTCTGCCGGACAATATCGATTACTGGGAGAGTTTTGAGACGATTATCTTTGGTGTTGTTGTAGTGAACTGAATTGCATGGGAGTAGGACTTATCTTGGAAACATGCTTTCGGAAAGGACCCTCTCTGTATACATACCTGCAATTCTATAGTTGCTATATACTAAATCTCCCAGCTTCTAACCACAACTCCCTACAAAGAAAATCACTTCAACCACCCCCAACAACCCCCCTCAAACTCTCCCCCAACCACCCCTCCCCCAATCCTACAGGGGTATCGAACCCATGCCCCCCCTCCCGCACCGTAACCACCACCTTCCCGGCCAGCCCCTCCGACCCCAAAACCTCCTTCGCCTTGCCAACGAACCGCACACTATCCTCCACAGACACGACCTCATCCTCCCTCCCATGCAAGATCGCAATCCCACCCCGCGGGATTCTGACAGGGTCATCCAGCCTCTCCATCGGATACCGCAGGGTCCGGTCCGGGTCGTGGGCCGCCGGGTCGACGCCGCGCGCGAACAGCTCGGCGATGCGGCCCGTGCGCATCGCCGCGTCCATCAGGTCGAGGCGGTCCGGCGGGGTCGTGAAGGTGCGGACGGGGCTGCGGTTCTGGGCGGCGAGGGCGAGGGCTGTGTTGAGGAGGTGGTGCATTTCTTGTAGATCTTCTTCGGTTTGTGGTTGGGTAGTTGGAGAGGGGGATGGTGCTGCGGTTGCGGTTGCGGTGGGAGTTGGGCTCACCCCGTCCCCATCCCCGTTGCTCAATCCGCTCTTACCCTCCTCATCTTCTCCTCTCATCGAGGAAGATACTGCTCCCCCCGCTGCTGCTGCTGCTGCTGCTGCTGCAGACGCTACCGCAGGAGACGACACCCCCAGAAAGGCAGGATACCCCACCACCACCCCGCCGATCTGCTCGGGAAACCGCAGCGCCAGACACAGACCCAGATACCCGCCGGCGGATCCGCCCGCCACGAGGACGCGGGCGAGGTCGATCGTCACCGGCCCCGAGGCATTCTGTGGGGAAGGGACCGCGGCGAGCAGCGCGGCAACGGGGGCTGGGGAGTGCACCCAGTGCCAAAAGTCGAGGACGTCGCTGAACACCTCGTGGATGGTGGCCTCCGGGAGGAGACGGTAGTTCGGGGTGATGAGGACGGCAGGCGTGGTTTGGGCTAGCTCGAGGAGGTAAGTTGGGAACCAGTCGAGGTGGAGGGAGGAGCCGCATATCTTTTTTGTCAGTTTGCTTTCGTGAGAAAGGGGAGGGGGCTTAGGGCTGGGGAGCGTACTAGGCCTCCGCCGTGGAAGTAGACGATTAGAGGAAGGGGTTTTAGGTTGGGGTTGGTGGGGTCGGGGATGGTCTTTGGGATGAGGATGTCTGTTTGGATTTTCTGGGGGGTGTTGTTGTTATCCTGGAAGGTTTTGTAGGGGGCTTGGAGGTGGTGGAATGGTTTGAGGCGGGGGTCTTGGACATGGTTGTTGTTTCACACTCAGATGTTGGGCGAGGTTCAAATGTTTGAGAAATGGGTGCGGGTGTTATTTCGGAGTTGTTGAGGCTACAGACTACAGGCCACAGGCTACAGGCTACTTTTATGCATCGCTCTACAGGCCTGGAGATCAGGCTAAAACATCCGGCATCTTGTATACATTCGGGTGTCGGGGTTAATTCCGGGGCTGACAAAGGATGCAAACCACCATCCTTCGACTAGCCTTGTCTTGAGTCAATGGTGATTGGCTCACTGTGACTCAAGTAGATTGCATGGCTGCAGCTTACTGACTAGAGACAAATGTTGTAAACGCTGCAAACATCGGCTTTGAGATTCGGTGTCCGGTATTCCCTTAGCGCGACAGTCACTACATCTTCTTGTGCTGAAAAGCTGACTATCACTAATTCTGCTGGATGTCTAACACCTTCCATTACAACAAATCTCATTGCTAGCAGACAGGGGATATAAGTCATCAAACACACGCAAAGCAAACAACATAACTCCAGTCATCAACTTTCGCCAATCGACACGGCTCAGGCACCGACCCTGTGCTGAGGGCAAGCTTTCTCACTCCTAACTCTCTTTTGAGCTTGACCCACCCCAAATCTCCCCCTAATGACAGTCGAAAGCAACTTGACAGCACTCCCAATCCCCGAGCCCTGAACACACTCGGCAGTACATCTTGCCCAAATCCGTTTTCCGTCCCGCATACATGAATGACCCATCCGGGATCCTGCCCCCGCCGGTGATCGACAGCTCCACCGTGTATGGAAGCAGTGAGTAGACGGACCATTTGCCCGCGTCGGTGTCGAAAGGCCGCGCCCCGAGTCCGCGGCAGTATCGATCGTAAACAAACGCTTGGCGGATCTTGGTCCCGGACGACGGCATGTAGCTCGCAATTCCCAGGTTGCAATACCCGGAGCCAGTGCCGGAGCACATGGCGGGGAATTGGTCTGGAATGTCGACGAAGGGGAAGTGGGTGGCTGCGTCGATGAAGTGGGCGAGATCTGTTGGGGCAGCTGCCAACAGGCCGAAGAAGGAGAAGAAGAGAACGAGGGTAGTAAGAGGCTTCATCTCGGTGGGAGTATCTGGTCGATTGAATGAGTATAGACCGTCAGCGTTCGGGGGATGAGTGGTAGTCCTGTCGCTGAGTAGAGAATGGGATTTTGAGGGCGACTCGGTCAGTCAGCCAGCCCTGGGGAACAGGCACGTATTTATACAACTGCACTGCGTGCCATGTTTCTGTTGCCTAACCCTTCTCATGCATGCGATTGGGATTCAGTCCAGCCACCTGGTCATGTCGGTATATTCGCCGGGTAGGGCCCTCTGAAGTCAGTGCCCCTGGCCACAGTGCAAACAGGACAGCGAGAATATGCACCCGTGCCAGGGAATGGAATAGCTGTTATGAGATGAAAACACCATTCGAGGCAGCGTGTAATGATCTGGAGAGGTTACACCACTGCCGGCAGGGTTAGTTAATCTGCATATGGTTGTGACATGGGTCTGCCAACCGGACTAGAGGGCAATGACTCGAGAGGAGTGCGATGACGACAATTCGATCTTCTCTGCAGTCAATTGGATGCATTGTGTATGCCTAATCTGTACGACAGTCAGTTCTGGCAGTGGACTTACTTCGACGGTCCTGGACTCGATCCGGGGTATCCATGCGAGTCTGCTGTGCATATACGGACTCGGATCTCGGTAACTCCGGAGGTGGAAACATCCGGATTGATGATGTATTGCTTGGCAAGGTCAAGCGTGAGTCTTTGTTTGAACTGGAGGTGGGCGTGAAGTGCAGCAGTCTCCGTCTTTATTTGACAGGTGTTGCTCGATTGTAAGTGCACAAACTCGCTTCAATCTTATATCTGCTGTTGCGGTTGATCTTGGCCTTTCTTCTGTCTCTTCACTCTTCACGGTATACTGATTATACCAAGGTCGAATCAAATGGCTGTATTCGTTGAAGAGTGTTGATGGACAATGCGTGGCTTTAATTGAGTAATTGATTGAGTTGGAACCTTAAACGGAAAGAGCCGGGGAACAGGCGACTTCACCTTTTGAGTATACATGTTCTCTCCTATTAACACTACACCTCCGAACATTCCCCAATCGTCCTCAATCTCTCAGTCTATCCTTGATCGCTTGAGCAAGCCATGATATGCTATTCTTCGACTGCGGATCAACCACGGTTCAGCTTACACTTTGCTCACAACACCGCAGCAAACGCTACTACAGCACCGCTGACGCACAACCTTTTAGGCCGCAGCTGGTGCCACTCTTGCTTATCCACGATATGCTTGATACTCACTTCTTCATTATCTCCTTTGAGGTACAACGAAGTTCGCTCAGGCTTCACTGTCTCAAGAACGGGTGTATTCCAGATTCAAGCGCAGCGTAGTTGTAATCTTCGCATGCCTCGAACTGTAATGACTCCTCCTTCCACTCTCACCCTTGTCTGATAATATCATTCAGATCCCTTACCTAGTGAGCATCCCACACACTGTGACTGCAAAATTTGCTCCAATGTGTAAAGCCATTGCCGACAAACCCACAAGTATATCCAGAAGACTCTGTGGAGGTCCCTGCTCCCATACCAGCAGAGACATTCAGATAAGAACCAGAAAACTCAGATCTCAAGAACCCTCACTGCGTAGAAGCAAAGATAACATGTGATCACAGCAAAGATCTCATCACCCCGTTCTTCAGGTAGAGCATCCATTCACCGTGGGGAGGGACTCAGATCAACACCTCTGGGAGATGAGATATTCACCCACCCGGCAACCTATAAACAAACCAATCCTTAAGTGTCATCACCAGAACCTGGATCGTGATCAACCTTCACTTCGATAGTGTAAGCTACACCGAGAATATTCACTGCACAGCACATAGCACGTCTGCGACGTCTGTTCATAACATATCTCATTTTTCTAGGTTGAGATTGAGACTTCTTTGTTCCTTTCCCACAACCTCCCTCTCTCTTACAACAACACTACCTCGTCCCTCACCTAAGTTACATAGCTGCTTCACTTTCTTCTTGTCAACCACACTCGCTGGCAACGATATCCAGAGTCTCAGAAGCCGGTCGCGTAGACTAGTTTCCGCTCGATCACCATGCCTCACCCCGAAGAGAAACGCGGCGAAGGAAACAAGGTTACAGGACCGAGGTAAGGCAAACGCCAACACAACACAACACAACACTTTACCTACTGTATAGAGTCTAAAGCACAACGCCCACAGATCCACACATGCCCCCAAGCAGCCCAAAGCCCCAATCCCTCAGCCCACCAAACAGAACAACAACAACGACAACGACCCCACCAAGACGGCCACACCGAAATCCCCCTCCGAAGCGATGCGCGCCGCGCTCACCGCACTAAAACCACCCAACCCCCCAGTCCCCAAACCCACCCCGCTGGAAGTCCTAGACTCGGAACTCCGCAGCTTCTTCGCGGAGGGCATCCAAGCAGCCTCGAACCGGATCACGGCGCTGCGGGTGGCCGTGCTACGCGGCGAGACGGCGGTCGACCTGCGCCCGCGAGCGTCGCCCTACCCGCCGCACCGAGCCCTGAAACCCCCGCGCCCGTCGATCTGGAATCTGAGCTACGTCGCGGCGACGCTGGTGCTGCTGCTCGCGAGCCCGCCGGACCGGGAGGCGACGCGCGCGGCCCTGAAGTGGCAGTCGCAGGAGATGGCGGGGTTGCCGTCGATGGCGGAGATCTGGAAGACGGCGTCGGCGGACCTGGGGAAGCGGTTCGCGCAGGCCAAGAAGGTCGCGATCGATGGCAAGGTCGCCACGGTCACGGTGCTGGGGGTGGATCTGGTGGACGTGGAGATGCTCGATCGCGGGGAGATCAAGAACCGCGATCGGGACTATACCTCCTTCGCGCACACGTTTGTCTTGACGGTGGGGCGCGAGGGATTTCGGGTCTACCAGGCGTGGCGCGCGCAGGGCCATCGGTTCGATCAGGTTCTGGGGAATGATGGGTCGCGGCTTCGCTCGTGGGCCGAGTCGAAATCCTTCCTTAGAAGCTTCGGCAGGCTCTGTCGGGCTCAGGTATGTGTTCCGACGAAGAAGAGATGGGCTTTGCTGACGGAGCGCAGAAGAAATGGTCGCCCGAGTTGAACAGTGCGTATCAAGAGTGTTTTGGCATCGATCTGGACTCGATCTGTGGGGAGGGACGTCCTAAACTTCCTGTTGTCCCGGTTTATCGACCTTGGGTTAGGATCTTCGAGATCAACGACGTCAAAGTTGAACATATCTGGAAGTTTACATGGGATGGCACCCCGCAGAAGTCATGAAGTGGGTCTTTGCTCAAGCATGTTGGTTGGTCTTCTTGGTTACGATGGTAGCCTTACGGTGTTTATCAACAGTATCTAATTTGGTCGTCGAATCTCTCGCCGCTGCACCTTCAGCTGGACAGCAGTGGGCTTGTTGAACCAATATTCTTGGGTTTCGAGGCAGGGTTCGGATGGCGAATCGAGCTCTAGATGGAAGGACCGGAGGATCTGTGGTATGACTTTGTACAACTCGCACATCGCCATCTTTAGAATTGATTAGTACCGATGTCACCGCAGTAGAATGAAAAGAGAGCTTACATGTTTTCCCAAGCAAGTTCTGGACCCGGCACCGAACTGCACCAGACTTAGTACACATACCCCAAGTTTTCATCGCTTTGCAGAGTTTCTCACATGCAGAATGTATTGTCCCAGGCGATCAGCTCCCGGACGCATCCAACGCTCTGGACAGAACTCGTCTGCATCCTCCCCAAACACAGATGGGTCCGATTGCACAATAGGGGCATTCGCACCAATCCGTGTGCCGCCGGGATTCTTGTAGCCAGATACCATTCTTTCCTCGCTGGCTGTTTGACGGGGCAGTGTCAACGCTGTGGTCGGATGGACTCGCATGCCCTCTTTGATACATGCGCTAAGGGATGGTAGTTTCACGGCCTCGTTGTAGACAATATGCGAAGCGCCCAGTTCTCCCTTGGCAGTCGCCGTATCGACCTCCTCGAGCAATGTCTGATAGATCCGCCGATCTTTTACGATGTGGAACATGGTAGCCGCCATTGTAATAGCCGTAGTGTCGCTTCCACCAAAGCTGCGCCTATTAGTGATCAATGCGCACCGGGTTCAACAGCGAGGACATACAAAGCAGCAAAAGCCTCCATTTTCACATCTGTCACCTCGAAATCAAGGGACTTGCCTTTATAGTAATAAATATCGAAGATCCGCGTGAGAATGTCAGAATGACCGGAACGTCCTTCTGCCTTCTTCGCTTCGCTCATGCTGTCTTCTACCACCTTATCGGCTGCTTCTGTGAGGTGGCCAAGCGCCCCGAAGGCCTTTCGTATCCGGCCAAACATGAGTCCAACGAACATGAAGACTGGACGTATATACGAAGGCATGACACCAGCGATTGCCATGGCTGGAATCAGGACGTCGGTGGCTGCTATGTAGCCCAGGTGGTCGTGTCCATTCTGGAGGAACCCGAACATCCGACCAAAGTAAAACTCCCCGACTGCATCGTATGCATACCTGCCGCATGGCTTAAGCTTCAGGGCTGCATGATTCTAGCCTGAGAACTTACACTTGAGCCCACCGGAAGAAATCGACCGTCGCACCTTGGCGGGCGAACTCCGCGAAGCGCTCGAGTAGAATATCGGTGCACTTATCGACATACTTCTCTGCCTGGAGCACATTCGACATTGAGTAGGCATAATTCACGATTCGTCGCCTGCGGGCATGCAACTGTTCGTCGGTTGCTGAGAAATGGTCTGGATGTCGTGCTAGAAGGGCGTCAGCGTCATGCGATCGAATGTGCCACCTGAGACTTACCCCAGGGTGGACGGAAAGCCAAGTAGAAGTCGGTCTAGGTAGTCAGACGGGTCTTGTTATCAGATGTTCTGAAACGATGAGCCAGATAAAGCCCGTATGCTCACTTTTCGAGACTCGAATTGGCACCGTATATAGCTTTCAAGGATCGCGCGTCATTCATGATGAGCTCGTTTGGTGCTATACGAACAATAGGCCCTGGAGAATGTCAGAATAATCGTACGGGCAATCGACTGTAGTGCTCTGCTAGCATACCGTATCTGCGATGCAGCTCTTTTTGCTCAATCACTGCCTTGCCACGGGCAACATGTAGGACGACATAGTCGGGAAATCGAGGCCAAAGGAGGTCCGGGGAATCTGGCCAAGGGATGGAGCCACCTGGCATAGAGTATCCAACCGCCATAATAGAGTATAAGGAGTACTCCCAGATTTTCGATCGTAGCAGATGGAACCATTGTGAGTTGACCACGGTTTTATTGTTTTCGAAGGCGTGCCGGGGGCTAGCCTGGGTTTATATGCATATAGGCAAGCGATCATGATTGCGATGCGGACCAGTGCGTCTGGTCATCTGTGCGCCGGTCGACCTCAAATGGCGTCTTGCAGCAATTAGCGAGCTTTGGATGAGGAGCTATCGTGGTTTCGACGTAACCATGCTGGGATCAGGGATTATAGTCCGCTCTAAGAGCCACCAAGTGGAGATGTCAGCTTTGTAGCGCCAATAGTGACAGATCCGACAGAAAACGCTCTTCTGGCAAGACAGCGATCTCTCGACGGTGCTGTTACCCTTGTTACCTCTGCTTAGTCCAATCAAGCAGCCATTGGCTAGTCTTATCATCCGTGTCACTAAGGAATCTCTCTCGGTTCTGATCAGAAGGCACCAACAGGGATGTCGCAAGTCATTGCATAGGAAGACAATCTGGTTTCGTCATTGGGAAGTAGAGGACAGATGACAGAGAAGAGAGCTCATGTGCAGACTTCAGCGTGCCTTTATTTGCCCGCAACCGCTCAGTCGCCCATGCCATCTACGGATGTCTTACTGTACTGTACTACAAAGTTACCTAACTGCAGAAGAGCCTTTTCGTAGCAACGGCCTCGCTTTGGAGCAGTTGATCTCGGTTATGACCATAGCAGATTGTACAGTAGGAATTCAAGCTAGGTAGTCGATGGTAAAAGAATAAGTTTGGAAATGAGGTGTCTAGCATATGTGATCCATTGATAGTTCTCCGACATCTCCGCAATCTGCATCCGCAACCGCAACCAGCCCTCCGCTTGTTATCTTATCGCAATCAATCAATCAATCAATCCACCTCTCCCCCTAAATCTCACCCGAATGAATGACTACATCCCAGCTCTTGACCACCCAATTCAACACCAACCTCCCAGACTCCATCCACAATGGAAACCCCACTCCCAGCAGCCGATACCCCGGCCGATCAACCCCCGGTCCTCAACTACATCCTCTCCTTCCTCCTCGTCGGCGTCGCCTGGGGCTTTACCACCCCCTTCATCCGCCGCGCCGCCGCCGACTTCAACGCGCGCCAGGAGGCACGAACCGGGCTGTCGCAAGGCGAGCACGACCCTGATACTGCTAATGCTATCCCCCCAAACACCTACGGCAATAATGAGCCCGAGCGCGACGCCCAAACTGTGCCCCTGAACCCAATCTCTACCTCCGAACACAACCGTCCCTCAACCGACAGCAACAGCGACAACGACGACAGCGCCAGCGAAACCGACCTCCCCCCAACCCCACCATCCCAACAACCCGTCTGGATGCGTCAGCAGTCTTCAGTGCATCATCCGCAACCACAAAAATCCTGGCTACGGACGAAAATCGTCTCCGTGTTCTGGACGGTGGTCAACCTCCTCCGGACGCCGGCGTATTCGATTCCGTTGGTGGTGAACCTGACGGGGAGTATTTGGTTCTTTCTGTTGGTGGGGAAGCATGGTATGTTCCCGCCCCCGCAAACGAATGAGAGATTTAGGGGTTGAAGATAATCACTAACTCCGTTTCTTCGGTGCATAGAACTCTCCCTCACAGTGCCGTTGGCCAATTCGAGCGCGTTCCTGTTTACGGTGCTGGGCGAGTGGTACGTGGAGCGGAAGGTGATTGCTCGAGAGACGTGGGTGGGGATGGCGTTGGTGTTGGCGGGGATTGCGATTTGTGTGGTGTCGAAATCCTAGGGGTTTACTTGTTATACTGGGGTTTAGCTATCAATCTGGAATTGACATGCAAAAGAAAAAAAAACAATATGTGATATGATGTAAGGTTGTGTTGCGGTGCTGCCCGCGGTAGTATTATATTACCACGAGTGTTAAAAAGAAAAGGTAAGCAAAAAGGTAAGCATTGCATCATCCGTGAATCGAACACGGGCCTCATCGATGGCAACGATGAATTCTACCACTAGACCAATGATGCTGGTTCATGTTATAGCCTTTACATTTAAGCAAAATATCCCATAGCACTTACGTAGAAACGGTCTCAAGTGCACGTAAACAGCACTAATCAATCCACATCATAGCCTAGTCTATATAAAAATCACCCAATCAATTATCATGATCTATAATGAGTACATCATACCCTTCTGCTCCCTAAAGCACCAAAACACTCGACTCACCATCGAGTAAACGATACAGCATGCAGTAAGCGTGCATCAACCCAGGACCATTCGATAACTATAGTTTGCTTGCCCCCATAGCATCCACCCCACCACCGCCAAAGACATATCAACAATACCATACCTTCCACACCTCGACCACACTCGCTTCCAAGTTCTCATCCATCAACATCCTCAGCAGTCTCAACCGATATTCACGCTGAACAAATGCAGCCAGAATAAGAGCGATCGTGATCCACCGCCGGCCCTCGGCTTACCCCGGATTTCCTTACCCCGGATTCTCTTCCCGCCGGGCGCACTCCCACTCCACCTCCGACCCAGCCATGTCCGGTCCATGTCCATGCCATAAGTTATCCACCAGGACAAAGTCAGCAGCAGCGGGCAATATCCTCTATTCCGACCGCAGCTCCCACGCCAAACCTCCACCTCCAGCTCCCCTGCTCTACCTCAGACCATAACCCAAACCAAACCCAAGACCTCACAGCAACACCCCCTCCCCTCAACCCCCATCCACAAAGAAAACAGCTCATGGACCTCACCGACCCCGCCCACAGCCTAGGCACCTTCCGCACACACCCACGCACCAGCCGCTCCGGCGACCAAGAACTCCCCTGGAAACTGATCATCCCGGGCGGCGAAGACGACGCCCACGAGCAGCAACAGCACAATACCTCAACCCCAACCCCCATCCTCAGACCCACCACCACCACCGGTCTCCACCCCGAATCCACAGAAACATGGTCCGCCCGCATAACAGGGGAAGTCCTCCGCAGCATCGGCAAGAACAGCATCCTCGTTCCGCCGCGCCCATCACCCCAGCAGCAGCAGCGCTCTAAATCCGCACCCGCGCCAGCACCCGAACAGGAAGCAGATTCGATATCTCCGAAATCGAAGAGATTATCCCCGGTAGTAGGATCACGACCAGGACCAGGACCAGGACCAGGACCAGAACAGGGGGGAGGGAGAGGGGGTACCAGCTGGCGGACGGCGACGACGACACCCCTCCTCACCCCCAGCCCCTACCCCCACTCCCACCCCCACAGTCCAAGCCCAGGCCTAAACCCAGGCCAAGGCCGGCCCTTCCTCCGCCGAGGAGGATCTACTACGGACACGAACACGAACACGGACACCGTCGGGGGTGGTGGTGGTGGTGGCAGGACCCCGTCCCCGCTACCGCCGCCTCCACCTCTACCTCCACCGTGCACGAAAGTTGATCTCCCAGCGTTACCGGGGTCGAGTGGATCGCTGGCGCGGGGGAAGGGGCTGCAGGAGCAACAACATCCCGAACAACCCAGCCCCTTGACGGAGGTGGCGAAGCAGACCGAAACCCCGAGCGGGAGTGCCGGGAAGCACGAGGACGACGAGGCGGAGGCCGAGATCGTGATGTTTAGTACAGCGTATCCGGGGCAGGAGTGGAAGCCTGCCGGGTTCATGGAGGCGCCGGGGTGGGGGTATGATTGATGACAGTAGGTGTTTCGGGGGGGTTGGCAACTGCGTGCTGTTGGGTGTTGTGGATAACATAATGGGTGGAGGGGCATTGTATTCTTGATTACGGGCTGAGCATTTCGATAGGTGTCTTTCGGATGATTAGTGGGAAGTCCGGGGGCAAGGGAGGCGTTTGTTATTGCAGTGGGAGGGAGGGATCATGGCGCTTTGGAGTTTGGGGTGGTTTGTGTACTGTACCTTAGCTTGCGCAATCTATGTCTGTTTAGTATAGGGATGATTTCGGGGACACATGCATTCAGGAGAATGGTTACTGGCGACTTCGTGTGAACAATTTAGGGAGCGATTTCGTCTAATTATCATTGTAGACGCGTGTTTTCTGTTGAAGCTAAGTAGGGACCTGTCACCTAGCTCTACATATCCAGAGTGGCTTCGTCCAAGTTAGAAAAGGAATACGAGGAGAAGAGTATATATGTGTATGTGTATGATGTACAGTACAGTGTAGACCCACCACCACCAGACCCCAAGGACTCTATCCCTCGAAAATATTACTCCCCAACTCCACCCCCATATCCTTCGCCACCCCGCGCATCTGCAACTCGATCTCATCCTCCATCCCGCCCCCCAGCCGCAAAAACTGGCGCACCTTCGTGAACCAGAAGAACAGATCCGTCCCGAACAACACCACCCGGAACACCAGGTGGCCCCAGGCGCCGCGCACCCGGGCGGCCACCCCCTCCGGCCGGTCCTCGGCCAGCGCGCGCGACGCCCACATCCCCGTGATCTTGACGCGGTTAACGGGACTCCCCAGGAACTGGTTGTTGGCCTGGACGATGCGGAGGTTGCGCCCGATGAAGATCAGCGGGCGCGGCCACTTCTCCTCATCGCCCAGGATCTGGCGGATCGCGCGGCGCGCCGATTGCTGCATCTCGTAGTGCAGGGTGCTCGGGTCTTCCGGGGACAGCGTGCGGGACACAGAGCGGTGGGTCGAGAGGTCGCCGCCCCGGTAGGGGCGCATTAGGGTCGCCGACGCGAAGAGGTCGGTGTTCTGGACGCCCCACGAGGAGACGATCTCCGTCAGAGTCGTGTTGTCGAAGGTGAGGAGCGCTTTCCAGAACCGCGCGTACTGGTGCCGGAAGGCCGGTTCCATGTGGATGTACAGACCGTGGTCGATGAGGACGAGTTCCGGGTTGCCCGACGGGGTCCGCCGGATGAAGATGTTCCCCGGGTGCGGGTCGCAGTGGACGTACCCCCACAGGAACATCTGCGCGGAGAAGAGGTCGACCATCGTGGTCATGACCTGCTTGAGGGAAAGGCCTAGCCCGCTGTCGCCGTAGCCGCCGCGCCAGTGGGTGCGCTCGGGCTTGAGCTGTGCGCCGTTGCGATCGAGGTTGGGGTGGGGGTTGGGTTGAGCCTTGCTGGACGGCGGGTCGAGCGGCGTGCCGTGGCAGCCCGGCGTGCCTTGACGCCATCCGCCACGCCAGGGTCGCGTGATGGAGTTCTTGTCCCAGAGGCGGACGCCCTCAATCCATTCGGCGGTCATCACCCGCTTCGAGCTGAGCTCGCGGTAGACCTTGGGGATGTACACTCGGTCGCGGAGGCGAGGCTCGCCGGCCACCAGCCGCGCCATGTTCTCGGAGTTGTCGGCTTCATTCTCAAAGTCCGTCTCCAGGGAGAGTCGCTCGGTGACGTATGGGACCAAGCTGTAGAACGGGATATCGAAGAGCCGGCTGTAGATCCATGTCACAACTCTGCTGAAGTTAGCATGCGCTCCCGATAAATTACAAAACCGCCGAGTGAGCCGGAAACATACTTGAAAGCCCACAGATCCCATGTGATCTGCTTGCCGATCTCCCGTTTCTGAATCTTGATGGCCACCTCCCGCCCATCCGCCAGACGAGCCCAATGCACCTGCGCCACGCTGGCACTGGCCCGGGCCGTCCGCTCCATGAGGCCCTTGCCAGGCTCCCCGGTGAAGGAGACCCCAAAGACCTCCTCGACGGAGCGGCCGCCAAAGTCCTCGCGGATGACCTTCTCCACCTCCTTCCAGTCGTTCTGCGGCGCATCGTCGAACATGCGCGCGAACATCTTCTGGAACTCGGGCGGCAGGATGGCGGACTGCATGGCGATCGCCTGGCCGATCTTCAGGTACAGGCCGCCATTGTGCCGCAGGAGGTCGGACAGCCGCTCGGCGTTGCGCGTGTGCACGGCGACGATAGAGCTGGCCAGCGGAGGGTTGGGGCGGAAGTTGATCTTGTAGTCCAGCGCCACGAGGAGACCCAGGCCGAAGGTGCGCGCCGTGCGGGTCAGGCTGGCGGCGTAGAATTGGTTGTCGACCGCGTAGATCGCCCCGGCGGTGAGGGAGAGGTAGACGAGGCGACGCAGCCATTTACGCGTGCGCGTGTAGGTCTTGGCTGGGGTAGGTTTGCCTAGGGAGGCCGGCGAGGGCGGGACGAAGGGCTGGTATCGTCCAGGGTGGACATGGCGGCGGCTGGAGAGGGCTGGGTACCGCCGCGGCGGAGCTGGGAACTGGAAGTGGTGGTGGTGTGCACGCGAGCGGACGAGAGGAGAAGAGGATACAACGGGAGAGCGCAGGAGGCGCAGATAAATGGCTGATGCCATTATACCGAGAGATCCAGCGGAAGAAATGGCATGGCGGGTTGGAAAGAGAGTTTGGAAAAGTAAAAATTGGTTGAGGTTGAATTGGGACGATGAGGAAAAAGAGATGGCATTGCAGTGCCAGCTGCAAGAGAAAGAGAGGATGACGTGAGGCGGTCGAGTTAAAGCGGCGGCGGAAGGCCGGGGCGGAGTTAATCAACCGGCGGAAACGGAGATAAGCCCGATCGGGCCACAAGCAAGCAATAGGACAATATGATAAGGGTATTATTGCATGCATGCAGCAGCTTACTTACTTACTGAGTAACTTACATACTCATAGATAGTATACTATACAGTACGTGGCTAGAAACTATACATCTCCCCCATCACCATCATCTCCCCCCCCAATTGCCCACACACCGCAGCGTACTCGCGCATCTTGTTGGGAATAATCTCCTCCCAGAGCTGGTTCTTCTGTACCCACTCGTACTGGGCTTGACAGACCGGCTCGGAAGCCATGGGCAGCAACCGGGGCAGGTGAACCAGCGCGGCCCGCACAAAACTCTTTTTGAAGCAGGTGCCGAACGCGGTCAGGGTCTCTCCATCCGCACAGACATCGCGGCCGCCGTCCAGCAACGGGCCGCATTGCCGCTTGATGAGCCCGGCCACCTCGTCCCCCAGGCGCATCATCGCATCCTCCTCTTGGTCCGGGTGATCCACCCAGGCCAGGAGGCTGCGGACAGCGGGCAGGAAGGTCTGGTTGCGCGTCCAGAGGTCCCAATGCGCGACCGTCGGTCGACAGCCTTGGTCGCAGATCTCCTGTTGGAATTGCGCGAGGAGCGCGTGCGGACGACTGGTCAGGGCAACGATGGCCTTGAAGCAAGTCGTGCTGAATTTGGCAGTGACCGGGGAGATAACAAGCACAATCCAGAGGCCAAGGGTGAGAAGCCGCATGGTTAAGCGGCAATAATGGGTTATATGAGATGTAAGGAGACTGAGAGGGAGATTAAAGAAAAAGAAAAGAAAGAGTGAACGATAGGAGTGGAGTGAGAGGGATAGAAGTGTCGAACACTGGGAGGAGAAATAGGAGTGGAGGAGGGGGGAAGAAGGAAAAGTGTGGAAGTGGCAGTGTTTCTCTCTCTCTCAGGCCCTCCCCTGGATGATCGACAAACACCCCCAGTTCTCTTCCTTCCTTTCCCCCGCATCAATTTCCCCCCTCAACCTCCATAGTCACATAATTCATCCAGCTTCAACCTCCGGCAACCCTCGGGCTTCATCCGGAGATTCCCACATCCAAATTCTCAACTCACCGGTCCTCTGCCCTCCACGCACCAAAGATAGGACTCCTCTCCCCTCCTCCAGCCCTCAAACCTCCTGAGAAGAAAACAATGAGGACAAAAACTCGCATGCATACTCATCAATTAATGAACTAGAGCCCTAATCCCCTCACCCCCACCCCCCACTATCGAATCCCTCCAGCAATCGAACCTCAACTCTGCATGTGGGCAGGGGCAGACCATTGTCCAAATCCAGGGCCCCCTTCCCTGTAATGTGATAGATCAAGATATCGACAGTATTCCATCGCTATCTCTTCGACAATATCTTTCTTTGCCCGCCACAACCGACAACGTCCGCCCGGAAGAGAAGATCACCCACACCACCGCTTGGTGCAGTGCAGTAGAGTTTCGCGGTCAGCGCGGGTACACCCGTATCAGCAGGAGGTCCGTGGGACCATCTTCGCGGCGGCATGTATGCATGCGTTCGTTCGTGAACGGGGAAAACTCTGATATCGATGTATCAACCACGAAAAATCCTGCAGAAGATTGGCTGTTGTGCGTGCGCATTGACACTCACCACCACCACCACCACCACCATGATATTCCGATCATCCATACGCAGCAAGACTATTGAACGATAGGCGACGGTCCACCCCCGTTGTCCTGCAGGTAAGAAATATGCCGCGTGCAGAGATGAGACTGGGAGTTCTTGCGAGCTGTCGGATCCCACTCACCTGATCGGGGCGATACGACTGGAGGAATGCGGGGATTAGTGAAGAGGGAAAACAAATTACTCGATTGAGGAGCCCGAAGGTGCTAGGTCAGATGCATTGGTGTGGGGGGGGCGATGTCGGGACTCGGGCTTCTTTATCACCCCTTCGTCGGGGACCTGAGTCAAACAATAGGAAGGGGGAAGTGAGCTCAGATGAGACTGAAGAATGGGGGCAATGGCTGGGACGGGGGGCAGGACGGAGCTGATTAGATTGGGTTTGAAGTTAAGGTTCCTCCCTACGGAGCAATAAGGGGCTAGCTAGCATTACAGTTGGCTGGAAGCGTGGGAGGTCCGGTTGTGAGTTCACATTGATTCATTAGAGTTATTCGCTATCCGTAAGTCTGTAAAAGTTCAACCACTATGCTAATGCCGAAACCGTTCGTACCAGGTGTATATCCCCCCTTGGGTCTGATGCCCGAAACTCCTCGCTAAAACCAACCAAATCCGAAATGATAACATGGAGAGAGATAAGACATGAGAGAGATGAAACAGTTAGGGAAGAGAAGAAATGCCAAGTGGCAGTACAAGGAAACGCCTCAAGGAGTGAGATCTAGAATGCCTGTAGTGGTGGCGATGATGATGATGATGATGATGATGACAAAAAGAGATGACAAATGAAAAGCCGTCGTCCCGGACAGGGTATTTGCGCTGTGTGTGAAGTCTAGAAGAGTAGAGAAAGGCTCAAAATGCGAAGTCAAAAGATCAGATGAAAGCAAAAAAAAATGTCGAAGGGAGACGATGATTGGATGAAGGAAAGAAAGGAATGCCCGTCAGGCATGTCGCTGGCGTCGGCGCAGCTCGTCTCGGCTCAAAAAGCGACGAATACGCGAAACAAAGCGGCCGGCAGTGGAGTCTGCGTCAGGGTTAGCGTGGCTCACATGCACCGGGGATGACAGGTCACACTGGCGGGCGAACATACCACTGTATCGGCGGCCACTGGGCTTAGACGAAAAATGCTCCGGGGTGGACGGATAAGACATATCGGTCCAGTAGCATGTATCCGGATAGTCTGCGAGGTGGCGGGCCTTGGCCCATGGGTTCTCATCGGATTGCAATTGCAGGGCAACAACGTGAGGATACAGTGATCCCAGTGGGTAGAGAATCTCTTCGGGAGAGCGTTGTCGGTCAATGTCCAGACTCTGGCTGGTCTGTTGACTATCAGTATGGGGTGGTGATGGGACGATGAGGCTGGCGTGGTACTCACGTAAGGCTCGTAGTTGCTCTTGTAAGTCATGGTGGTTGTGGTTGTGAAAGATGTGATTGATGTGATGTGAGAGATCTCGGAAGGTGGTTTGTAGGATGTGTAGATGTTTCGGCTGGATCGTAGTATAGAACGATTTAGAACAGCAGAGGATAGCGATTGATAGATATAGATCTCGCGATTGACGATTGACGGAGAGTCGACGAAGAATGTGATTGCTGAAAGAGAGACACGTTCTCTGAAGAGACTTTGAAACTGGATGGGGACAAGCTCGGGAGAAACCTTGATAGTTATATAACATGCGGCCGAACAGCCGTGCCCTGGTGGAGGTCAGAGGAGATTGTCAGCCACGCCTGGCTGGTTTTAGTCGAAGGTGGGGAGCAGCTGCCACGCATCGACCTGACCCTGGCTAGCCTTGTTGTTTAATTGGCATTTTCTTTTTTTTTGTTTGTTTTTTTTCGTTGCTGCTTCTTTTTTTTCGTTCGCTTATCCTGGCAACAATTAGAAAATCAAAACCTTCTTTTCATTTTCCTTTTTGTCACTCCTAAAGAATTAATCAACTCACCAATCTATTGTTCACCGATGGCTTACAATTTACGAGATCCCAGCCGCAAGGATCATCTACCAGGATAATCCCAGTCGTTCCGGCCGACCAGGAGTCGATGGATCGCATCGCCGGGCCTGATTTGAATTTAGGTCAGGCATGATCTCATCATCACTTCAGTCGTCGCCAGATCGATTTAGAGCGAAAACCGGGCGGGAACCGGGCTAGTCGCATTTGCCCTGGGCTAATTCAGGTCCGACGGGTCGGGTTGAATTTAGCACTTCTGACGGCGACCGCATTGTCCAGGCTGACTGGCGGATGCTCTCAGGAACTAGCTGACCCTAAGCAGGATAGCTGAGAGCATCTTCATCTGTCCATTTGTGACCATCCAGTCATCGATCGGGAATGGCCGCAGGTGGGACTCCACTCCGTCAGGCACTTGGTTTCGAATCCGGATCCAGTGCGTCAGAGAGCGGGGACTGCAGCACTACTGCTTTAGTCGGTTTAGTCGGTTGCTGCATCGACTGCACACCTGAAGCAACTTAGCAAAGCAGCCTTTGGCTTCGCTCGCAGGCTAGCCTTCGTTAGCCGGCGAGGGCTGATCGACCGCCAGCATGGCCGAGTGGCCGGTGGCCGGTGTGTCCGGTGGACGGCGATCAAGCCTGTCGCCTGCTTCCCCTTGCATGGAGAAAGCCGGTCAGGTCGGACTATCGTCCACGTTGTGCCGTTCCTGGGGGGTTGCATATGTATGGTGACGCGCCTGTACACACCCTTTTTCTTTTTTGCTTGGGTGAAGAACAAGGAGAAGTTGGTCAGAATGACCACCAGAGTGGGAAGAGGAGGGTTGTGTCACGATTGCGTCGGAGGACCACAGGAGACATTGGTGCGGGGAATGGAGACTGAGTGACTAGCAGCGGAGCTGTCACAGATCGGTGGGTGACTATTGATTCCTGCCTGGGAGCCTGTTTTCTCAGGAGGGCGGATGGGAGGCCAGGCTGCTGACTACTACGAGTACGCACTCCTTTCCCTTCGCCGCGCCTCCCCCCCCAATCCTCTCCACTCCTCCATCTCCGTCGCTATTCTTCTCCTAGGCCCTCAGCTAGCTCTTAATACTCATCGTAATATTAATCTATTTCATCTCCTATGATCCTATCAAAGGTTGGGATAAGCGAAATCGCCGCTAATGTCCGTGTTTTTCAAATCCTGGTGTCTCTAGCGCCATGGAGGTGTCCAGGTTCTCGGGTCTGGATAATGGATAGATGGATAGACAATGCGAAGGTCTAGATGGGGAGGTGCTGACTGGTAAGCATTAACTAAACAGACTATTGAAGGGTTTAGCAAATGATAACCTACTGAATAATTCACGCGACAGGGATGCAGCGAGGACACGAGACCTTGCTCAGTACATCTTCCCTGTCGACTATCTGCATGCCTGGCAGCCTCAGGCCTATAAAATAGGGCTGCACAGCCACGCTACTACGGCCCCGCCGGCACCGAACATCTGCGGACTGCGGACAGATCTGTGGCGGTCTGGCGGAGAAGCCCGTGGCTTGACCCTGTCCGTCTCCGCTTAGGGCGTCAATAGTCGGGATAGCTTCACACCCTGAGCGACCGTCGGCTCTCCACACTCCCCTGTCATGCGGCCCCTCGCCGTGAGCATGGGCTTGTTGCACTGATGCTCGGCCTGTATTCTTTCCCCTTCGGGATGGCCATCGGGCTGGCCGCCATCCCCCCTTGGCCCGAGGGGAGGGCCCGGAGAAGTATAAGGAGCAGACCCCCTCGTGTCGAACCTCCTCTCAAATCATCCATCGTGCGACTTTAATTCAATCGCATCTGTCAGCCAGCACATGTCTACGTCCCATGGCACTAAGCCCAAATCCCTCCGAACACGATTATCAGCGAAGCTCTCCTTCAATGGACTGGTCCGATCAGTCGCCCATCGCTTCCCCCGACTGTTTCCCCGCGAGTAAGAACGCCTTTATTTTCCAATCTGCTATGACCTTCCTGAGCACTTCTAAAGATCGAGGCCCCTGGGCCAAACAGAATCTCTCTGGCTGGACACAACTGAACTTCAATCCGGTTCTAGACCTGTGAATATGTCCCCAGCAGGCGGCGGGCCATCCACGCCCGCGTCGTCTTCATCCTCCTCGATTAAATACTCGTCCGCTGCTACCGAACCGCCTGCATCTGTCGCTGCTGCAAGACAGCAACAGCATCAGCAACATTCTTCCTGGTCGATCCCGCCGGAGACGGCCGCCAATCCATCTGCAGATCCGTCCTCGACTTCGATCGACCTGCTGGACACATGGTATCCGCAGTATCTACGCTGCACGCAGTATTTCCTCGAGCACGGCCAATTCTCACCCACGGTCTCATCGCTGGCTGCGTTTCTGAACATCCGTCTACCGTGCCAGCGGGTCGAGCGGCAAGAAACCTCCTCCTTCTCGTCCTCGGACGCAGGGGGGCCACCAGCAGCAGCAGCAGCAGCAGCAGCTCACGTGCAGCTGCGGCGGTACGTCCGGCGACTCGTGGTGACGGCGCACGACAGCCCCGAGGTGCTGCAGGCCTTCTTCGGGGCGGAGTGGGCGGGCGGGGTGGGCTGTGTGGTGCAGCAGGAGCGGCAGACGTACCTGTTTACGGCGAAGAGCAGCGGGTGGGCGGCGACCAAAGCGGCGTACGACCTGTTGCCGGACGAGCAGACGCCCTTCCTGCGTCCGCTGCGGGCGCCGGCGGAGGAGGAGTTGCGGCTGGCGGAATCGCGGTGGAGTGACTGGTTGGCGATGGAGGATTGGATGGTGGGCCCTCGGAGTCCGTGGAGGGATTCATGATGTCTACGACTTTTCTTTTTATGGCGCTACATTTCCTATGTTCGTTTCGATTTCATTTGTTAGATTGACACTGCAGCCGAACATGATTTCTGCAATTGCAAAAATGATAGAAGGATTTCTCATATAGGTCTATCTACTTAGCGGTATGTAGTATTACTGACCATGGACCACGCTTCGAATTCCTGTATCCGGGTTAGCAGACTGATGACCCCGGCTCGAGTACACATGTAAGACACTCTAAGTAATATGAGGATCAATTAAGATGAGCCACTAACTATCGGGTATAGCAAGTTAGTGTAGATACTAGATAGAGCGGAAAATTCCAAATCGTGTCGTGGGCCCCGTCCAACTACACTAGACGACAAACTACTGTGTAAATAAACTACAATACGTTCCTGGGCATTGGGCAGGACTGCCATGGGGGCGGAAAAATAAAACCAAGATTAAAGCAAAGCACGCCACCCAGTACACTGGACCTGTCAGACCCTCGATCATCGGCGCTAAAACAATTGCATTGAGACACCAAGCCCCAAAGCTGAAAGCTGAATTCTTAGTGGTGAATGGCGGATGGTGAATGGTGCGGTGAAGGAAGGGAAAGAGATGGGGCAGGAGAAAAAAGGGGAAAACCCCCCACATGGGGTCAGTCAGTCAGGGCAGGGATCTTGTTCCGTGTCAACTTTCTATCCTATGGTACTGGCGGTCAGCCAGCCAGCCAGCCAGCCAGCCACATGTGCATGGAACAATTCATGGAAGATTCTTTTCCATGCCCTGCCCTGCACGGCTAATGCATGAGGTCGGGGTTGACAAAAATAGGTGACCTATCACTGGCTCCTAGTCGAGTTTGAGATTGCGTTTCCTCTTTTCCATTTGTGTTTCCGTTTCCAATCCCCAAGTCTCACACTAGTTTTAGGTCTGTCTGTCTGGCTGGCTGGCTTGCACCGCCCATCTTCATCTTCTTGGCTTGGTCGGGGAAATCCGAGCTTTAATTCAGGCACCGGCTGAACAGTGAACCTGGGGGAATCTTCTTCCATCACTAAACTCGTTTCAGACTTTCAAGTCAATAGTCAATATTTAGTTCCCAGGGATCTTAATTAATCCTACCCGCAAAGCAGCCCGACACTCCAGCTGTCAGGCTGTCACAACTCACAAGTGTCAGCATGACAAATACCTTATCCTTAGTCAGAGCGTTATCTTGGGGGGACTTATCTTGCTTGGGTAACTCACCTCTACTAACTAATCTATACAGAGTAAGTTAACTGAACTAATCCTTAGTGCAGATGGCGATCGCCCGGGGCTCCCAACGTGACTCACCCACCTCTTCCTTTACTAGGGATGTAAATTAATCGAACCTTTTCTCTGCCTTGACCTGTCATATTTGAAATTCCAGCCGATCATCGCAAGCCAAGCATCGACCGACAAGAACTCGGATATTTTTGCTTGCTTTTTTGACTTTTGCCCTGCTTTGCATGTACCCCAAGGTAAATCCTCCGATTTACCGTCCGTCCGTTCGTCAACAACCGACCTAAGCGACCTGAATAAATCCTTCCGAGACGTCAGAAGATAGATCCAGATCTTAGAAACGAGGAAAAGTCAACCGAGTTGTACAGTCCAGCAACACTTCTGCAAGCAGAAAAAGAAAAAAAAACAACCCTTGTCCAACAAACCCCGTCTTCAACCAATTGGTTGGCAACGTACTGTACAACCCGCCCCCCAATCCCAACATGATGGAGCAGGATCCAAATTCGGAGCCGGTGGTGGTGATTCACGAGCACCCTCCCTCAACCTGGACCTCCTCCACTACTGGGATACTCCCCCGCCTCCAATCCCACCTCCCCTACTCCATCCCCCTCCTGCGTCGGATCCAGCACCACCTCGCCCATCCCACCTCCACCGCCACCGTCTTAGCTACCTTTCCTGCAGTGCACCAGCATGAGACACCACGCTCCACCGCAGCAGCCGCACCAAAAGAAGAACCCTGGCTAACAGCCTACATCGACCTGCACGCCGGCCGCGAAACCCAAGTGGTAATCTACAGCAGCGCGGAAGCGGACTCCTCAGTCGACGTTTCTCTACCCAGCAGCGCCACCAACGCCCCCGGGCCAACGAGCACCGGTACCGGTTCCCCGCTCTCCCTCTCCCTCTTGTCTTCACAGCACTCCCAGACAATCCGGCGCCAACTCCTCGCCCTATTCCAATATATCAAAACCCACCTGCTCCCGGAGTACACCGCCCATCTCGCGGCCGCGGAACCCGTGACAGCAACAGCAACAGCAACAGATCACCAGCTCCCCCCACCCCCACCGCAGGCCTTTCTCATCGGGAATCTGCATACGGGGCTGTTGGCGGTGCTTTTTGCGGGGCAGACCCAGACCGAAAAGGATGAGCATGCGCTGGCAGCAGCGTATACTTCAGGCTTGGGATCGGTGTCGTTCGTCCCGGGGCTGAAGGTGCATCGCTACGATCACGCCCCGTACGTTAAGTATCTGTTTGGAAGGGAGGTGGTTTGTCCCCGGGATGGTAGTGCTACTGCTGAACCGGCTAAGGATGGCTTCCGCTTCCACACCCGGGATGGCCGGCAGGGCGTCCAACGCCAACATTTCGCCCTCGTGCGGAGCCGCACGGTGATTCCGCGGTCGGATGCGACGTTGGCCATGTTGCCGGGGGCGGCGGTTTATGCGCAGACTTCCGGAACGGTTGATGGAGGGGAGGAGGAGGAGACAGAAAATCCCGTGGCGTGGGCGTTTCTCGGGCCCGATGGGTCGCTGGCGACGTTGCATGTTGAGGCGGAGTATCGGGGGCAGGGGCTGGCGGGGAGGGTGGCGCGCGAGGCGATGAGACGGGGGATGGTGGAGGATGGGCGGTGGTGGAACGGGGAAGGGGAGGGGGAGGAGGACACGACTGAGGATGGGATGCTGGTGCATACGAATGTGGCGATGGGGAATGGGGCGAGTCGCCGGGTGATGGAGAAGCTGGGGGGGAGGGTTGGCTGGACGGTTACGTGGACGGTCGTGGAGGTGCTACAGTAGGTAGTAGTTATAGAGTCTGTATAAAAACTCTGTATAAGGCGGGCATGTATAGCGCCGCTTCATATTATATCTATACCAAACTACCTCCGATATTATACCTCAGTTGATCCCGGCCGTCTCTCGCCGTTGCCAGGCCATCTCGTCTCCCCTGGCGAGCAATTTTAAATTGACTGGTTCTCATGCTCCTCGTCAAGACCAGCACATTCGTCCTTCCGCCGGTTCAGGCTGGAGATGGAGAGATTGGGTACGCAATAGTCAGCTCGGTCCTGACAACCTGGAGCCTTGCGCAGCTTGCTGTAAATAACAACACAGTTTGAGACAGTCCTTGAACCTGAGCAATGGGCTTCAACAGTTTGCTCCGCATCCTGTTCTACACCCATGTTCAGGAGACCGTTACACTTTGCCAGTCCCCTCACTGTCGATAGAAAATTTTCATCATCTGTAGGTTGAGCGCTCGCCGGCTCGGAACCTCGGAGGGTGCACCGAAGCGCTTGTATAGCTCAGCTGTGCTTTAGACCGTCGAAGTTCCGTATGCGCAAGAGAAAGTTGCGCAAATGAGGGATCTGCTTTCGATTTAGTATGCAAGGATCAGGAAACAGAGAGGCACAGATGCTCACCTCCGTGGCCTACCCCGTTTGCATGCAAATAAGACAGCCCTAAAAGGAGCTGGGGCGGCAGTCGATCTCGCAGCGTCCCGTGGAAACATGAAATCTCTGCTGTCCTCCTTCGACTCCACAATACTACCTACCGCCAGCGGGTTCTCCGTCCAAGCACCGGTGATGTCCATTTCGACCGTGAAACGAGAATCGGTCAAGTAACCGCGGAATGAATTGCTTTCCAGCATGAGCAAGGTCACTCTTCATCGAGTGTCCAAGGACTTCCCCCTCGCGGCTGTCTGATAATGCTCTCGCAGTCAGTATTTTTAGCGATACATAGCGCTGGCGTTGCCGATCCCGCGCGAGCCAAATTGTTGCATAGCCACCAAAACCAGGCTTGTGAACGACAGTATAGCGGCCACTACCAAAGGTGTCTCCGATGAGAGATGGGTGGTACCCGCCAGGCACATATTCCTCAACATACTCAACATCTACCTCAGGGTGGTATAGGTCTTCCATTGGCGCGTTAGCCATGGTATGAAAGCGTCGAGGTGGGTGCGGTGACGGTGAGGCTCCGTGGTGACGGCTAGTCTTCGATGTGAATAGAAACCGCCACAGGCAAAAGGTCTTTATGTTGTCGACGAAGTACCAATGGTTGGGAGAATGGACGAGGGAGTCTCCAGCTAGGGTTCATCATTTCTATATCCATGTCCTTGCAGAGGTCAAAGAACAACTTCTGCCAATACTGAAAGGGCCCTGTGGAGCCGCGGTCGTCGCTGGAAGATGGCCAAAGTACGGAAGGATATAAGTTATTATTGCTAAATCATGCCCAGAGTGCCTCAGTCAGACGGTGTAAGTCGTTTTACTCCCTCGGTTACCTCGGCATATAAATATATCATCTCTGTTGGGGTTAGTACCTTTCCGTTCCTCCTGTGGGGGAATCCTGCTTCCAACTGTGCACCTAGGGTTATGGCATACTTCTGACCTCGTATCGATGGCAGCAAAGTACAATGTCCTGCTGCTAGCAGTGCAGTAAGGGATACATAGAAGCAGCCGTCACATATGCATAACAATGGTCTCATACTAGGGTTAGCGGGTGGGCCGTATTAGGCGTAGCGTTGGAAGATTGTTTTTGACGATTCTGAGGGTCGAGGCCACATGACGCCATTGTGTTGAATAGAAAGCACATTTTAAAGTCAATCAATACATGGTGTTACCCGGACACATTTTACAAGCTATTTTCCCCCAGAGGGAAGATGCTCTAGGGTATCGCGAAGCTGCGTGCGGCCATATGAATCGGGATGGTCTAGTAAATCGTAGTTAGGGTCTGCCACGGTCTTCCTGGGTTCATGCACCTCCGGAGTCACTCTCCAGCTGGTGCACTCCATATGCTGCACTACCTATTGATTCTCCTCTACCCACTTTCTAACAATTGCCAGGACCTGCACTCCGTCAGTCGGCGGCAGCAGGGAACCGGGCAGGGTGAGCCCAACTTATCAAATGCGGGTGTGGAAGGAAGGGATAGTCAGCCGTGTGGTCAAAATGGGGTACTAGATAGTATATAAACAACCAAAGATTATCCTCTTAAAAAAAAAAAAGAGCAACAGGCTAAACCAAACCACCCCTTTCCCCCAACACCAACATCAATAGCCCACAACCGAATATACACACGAAAACAATTCCGAAGATCAATCAAAAACCTCATCCCCACCCACCGTCTGAATACTAGCAACCATCACCGCCCCATCCGCCGTCACAATCTTCCTCTCCCTCTCCCTCGCCCTATCCCCAACCTACACTGACCAAAACCCCCCCCTACCCCCTCCTCCTCCTCCTCCTCCTCCTCCTCCTCCTCTTCCTCCCACCGCCTCCTGCTCCACGGAACATTGATCAACTCCCTCTCCATCCTCGCAGGCAACTCCGCTCGCTGCCGATAGAACCCCGTATCCGATAATTCGGCCGTCGTTGCTGCTGTCCTTCCCCTTCCTCTTCCCCTTCCCCTTCCCGCTTCCGTGCATGGAATCCGAGTACTTCTAGTGGCAGCAGTAGCAACACCCCTCGAAACTTCCGTATAGCTTGCCCCCCTCATCTGTAACGTAGGCTTAACATTAACATTAACATGACCGCGCATCCGAGCCGGCGCAGGCAGAGGTTTCTTGGTGGGCGTTGTCTCCGGCGAGACGAGCGGACTGACGCTTTCGGGGTCGCTGTTGTTGTTGCCGAATGAGCGCATCGCGAGGTGGCGGTCTCGGTCGTTGAGGGGAGAGATTTGGATTTGAGGGGAGGAAGAGGGGGAGGGAGAGGGTAGACCGGGGTTCTTTGGGCAGGGTGGGGTGGTATAAGGGTTTATTTGAGATGGTGGTGGTGGTGGGGTTGGAGTTTGGGATCGGGATCGGGTTGGGGTTGCGGTCTTTAGGGTTGCTGGTAGTGCTGGGGGGAATGCTGGTAGTGCTGCTGGCGCTGCTGCTGGCACTGTTATCGTAATTCGAGGCGGCTGCGCTTGCGCCTGTAGGTGCGAGTCTGTGCTGCATTAGCTACTTGCTCTGCATCCGAGCCCTAACTCATCATATGAAGGGGCGGGGCGAGGCGACGGGACTACCTTTCGTCTCGACCATCTCCGTCCCACTCCCCTCCCCACAGAACAACCGTTCCTCCTTCGACGGCGATCCAGACCCCAAAGTCCCAGGGTGGCGCCAGTACAGGAGCCGGAACTGGCCCCGCCGGCGTTTTCGGGCCCGGTAGATCGAGTACAGCACCAAGGCGACGAGGATGAGGAGGGCGAGGACGCCGCCCACGACGCCGGCGATGAGGGCTTGGCTGATTTTGTTGGGTTGGTGGTGTGTGGTTGTTGTTGCGGTTATTGTTGTGGGTGTGGTTGTTGAGTGGATGGTGGTTTGGTCTGGGGTTGGGGTTGTTGTAGTGGCAGAGGTAGTCGCGGGGTGCGTAGCCGCTGGGATTGTGGTGGTTGATATGGTCGAGCTGGATGTCGACGTTGAGGTGGTCTTGGTCTTGACTTCGACAGCAGTGCTCTTCGAGGTTGAGGAAGTCTTGCTGATTGTGGTATCACTGCGACTACTACTGCTGCTGCCGCTGCTATCATCCGCACAAACCCCCACAGTGCATGGATCAACCGAGCAACATCCACTGTACCCTCCCTTCGCACAGACATACCACTGGGTATTCCCCGGACAGGAATCACTCGCGGCTCGGACGGCGAGGGCGGCCATGGCGGTGATTCCCTGGACTGCGCTATACTTCGTCTCAAAAAGCGGCTGGCGAAAGCAAGAACAAGAAATAACCAGCGAGTGAATCGCAGTCCGGCTGGCAGTTGAACGAATGTTAGCCTAAAGCAGCAAAGAGGAGAATCACCGGACAGCAAAGAATGAGCGAAGTTGAATCTCCAGGGAAGTCAGCATGAAAAGAGGTCTACCGTCTCCTAAAGGTGGCAGTGTGCAGCCGGCCTCTTTCTTTGTTTCATGGGATGACTGATAGGATGGCACCAGCCAAACACCCCGAATCAAACCGCGGGTTGACGGTGGTTAACATTACTCGGCAGGAATAACACAAAGAAAACTCCATTGTATGGCAAAGTCAACGGCTATAAAAGACAACACACGTGAGTACACCAAACTCATCGCCTGGAAAAACCCTTGGATATACACATATAAACACACGGAAATAGACACGGTCGAATTTTCGCCTCGCTCTTTTCGTTCACTATCCTCATTCTCACCACCCCCTGCCCCCTGGCCTCAAATGCGCTTAGTACACACGCTTGAAGGGAGGGACAGGCTTGCACTCGTTCTCGTCCAGGGTCTTGTGCTCAACGGCACGGTAACCGAGCTGGACGTCACCGTGGGGCTTCTTCTGCCAGGTGAGAGTGTGCTTCATCCAGTTCTCGTCGTCACGGTCGGGGTAGTCCTCACGGGCGTGGGCACCACGGGACTCCTTGCGGTTAGCAGCAGCAATGGCGGTTTGAGTACTATTCCAGAGTTAGCCATGATCATACTAAGCAAGTCCCAGAGATACGTACGCGCAGGTCAACAGGTTACGGAGCTCAAGAGTCTCAACAAGGTCGGAGTTCCAGATCATGCTGCGATCCTTGGTGCCAACCTGGTCGTACAGCTTGTCGACAGCAGTGATCTTCTCAACACCCTCATCCAAACTCTCCTGGGTACGGAAAACGCTGACATCAGTCTGCATAGTCTTCTGCATAGCGTTGCGGATCTCGAAAGTAGACTTGGGGCCGTCGGCATTGCGGGCAAAGTCGAGGTCCTTGATGGACTCGGCACCGGCATCGGAGGCCAGCTCACGGTGGGCCTTGCCAGGGGTGGCGATGTCACGGACACGGTGGGAGACGGCACGGCCGAAGACGACCAGGTCGAGAAGAGAGTTGGCACCCAGACGGTTGGCACCGTGGACGGACACACAGGCGGCCTCACCGCAAGCATACAGACCAGGGACAACCTTGTCCTGGCCGTTCTCGTCAACGGTCAGAACCTCACCGGTGTACTTGGTGGGGATACCACCCATGTTGTAGTGGACGGTGGGCAGGACGGGGATGGGCTGCTTGGTGACATCGACACCGGCGAAGATGGAGGCGGTCTCGGAGATACCGGGCAGACGCTCGTGAAGGAGCTCGGCGGGCAAGTGGCTGAGCTGGAGGTAGATGTGGTCCTTCTCGGGACCGACACCACGGCCCTCACGGATCTCAAGGGTCATGGAACGAGAGACGACGTCACGGGAAGCCAGATCCTTGGCAGTAGGAGCGTAACGCTCCATGAAACGCTCACCCTCGGAGTTAAGCAGGTAACCACCCTCACCACGGGAACCCTCGGTGATCAGACATCCGGCACCGTAGATACCAGTGGGGTGGAACTGGACGAACTCCAGATCCTGGTTGGGGAGACCGGCACGGGCAACCATGGCCATACCGTCACCGGTACAGGTGTGGGCAGAAGTGCAGCTGAAGTAGGCACGTCCGTAACCACCGGTGGCCAGGACGGTGTGGTGAGCCTTGAAGCGGTGGAGGGTACCGTCCTCCTGGTTGTAGGCGATGATACCACGGCACTCACCATCCTCCATCAGAAGGTCAAGGGCGAAGTATTCGATAAAGTAGTTGGTGTTGTGGCGGAGAGACTGTCCGTAAAGAGTGTGAAGAAGGGCGTGGCCGGTACGGTCAGCGGCGGCACAGCAACGGTAGGCCTGGCCACCCTTGCCGAACTCCTTGGACTGACCACCGAAAGCACGCTGGTAGATACGACCATCCTCGGTACGGGAGAAGGGGCAACCGTAGCCCTCCAACTCACGAACACTAGCAGGAGCCTCTCTAGTCATGTAGTGAATGGCATCCTGGTCACCAAGCCAGTCGGAACCCTTGACGGTGTCGTACATGTGCCACCTCCAGTCATCCTCGTGCATGCTACAGGCCGAAGGTTAGCCGGGTTGCGAACCTGAGAAACCTCCATAACATACTTTCCAAGGGCAGCGTTGATACCACCCTGAGCGGCGACAGTGTGACTTCTCGTAGGGAAGAGCTTAGAGACACAGGCAGTGTTGAAGCCAGCTTCGGCAAGACCGAAAGCGGCACGCAGACCAGCGCCCCCGGCACCGACGACGACAGCATCGTACTCGTGGTCCTGCAACAACGATTAAGATCACAATCCTGACGTATAACCATAGAATATCCTTACAATGACGGGGTACTTGTCGGAGATGTAGCCATTGGCCTCCTTGGCGCGCAGGGGTCCGTTGCCAAAGATCCGGGCTAGCGAGATTAGAAGTTAGCGAGAGGCGGAAAGGGATGGCGATGCGACTCCAATGCGTACCAGCAGGGCGGGAGGAGGAGAAAAGACGTCTCTGATCCCTCAAGGCGCGGGAAATCTGCGCAAAGATACATGTCAGTAAAATCCTCGAGAGAGGGGTGGCGTCCTAACGCGCGCTCCAAATCTGGAGTCGAGACGGACAGACATCGGATAGGGAACAGACCTTAGATGCGGGAGCCAGGCTCCGCCAGCTCAAGGAGCTCATGATGACGGATTAGAAGAAAAGAGAGACACTTCTCTAACAGAATCCGGGAAAGGAGGGGAGATGGGGAAGGGATCCAACAGCACAAGTACTGGGGGAGAGAAAGTCGGGGTTCAAGGCTGGTGGTTTGCATGCGAGCTGCACTTTTGGATCGTCGGTTCTGCTGGAAGAGCGAGGAAGGCCCGGCTGACATAAGCATTTTGCACTTGCCGACGGGGAGGACCGGGGCCGAACAAGCCAATCAACATTTGTGGAGTGGTAATCACCTCGGGCAGTCAGTCTGCGTTCATTGGCCGAAATCTGCTGGGCACGTGGTCCGGCCCTCTTCTCACCCGGCAAAGCGCGAGACTTTCCGGAGCAAGACGGCCGATTCCAGTTGGCAGCCTGGCAGACAGCCTGAATACTTTCGGCATGAGCCTGAGGCAGTGAGCTGGAGCAGGAGCCGAGCCTGGCTCCAGGCTTGGGTTTCTCCTCACTGCAATGAGACCGGAAACTAATTAAGCTTACTACTACCGATCTAGGTATAAGCAGCTTACCTAGCTTGTAACCCTTGCTGATTGCCGCCGCTCCGGCAGGATCACCCAGAACTTGACATTGACATCATACAACAGACTACCGAGTAAATGATCATACACATCCATTGCGTTTGTAATGTAATCCAAATACCTGAGAGTCGTCTAATTATACTGCATGTACGTCGCCGTCGAGTTGAACTTCAGGTTGCCCTTGATCACCTTGTCCACCGCAGCCAAGAAGTCCTTCTCAGTAGCCACCTTCCGACGCGCCCGAATGGCGAACATACCCGCCTCTGTTGCGACACTCCGAAGCTCAGCACCCGTGGCGTTCGGGCATAGACGAGAGATCAGCTCCCACCGGATGTCACGCTCGACCGACATGCTCTTGGCGTGAATGCGCAGAATGTTGGCGCGGCCCTCAACATCCGGAAGGGAGAACTCGATCTTACGATCGATACGTCCCGGACGCATCAGAGCAGGATCCAGAGTTGACGGCCGGTTGGTCGCGAACATAACCTTGATGTTACCACGGGCGTCGAATCCGTCCAGTTGTGTAATCAGTTCCAGCATAGTACGCTGGACCTCGTTGTCACCACCAGCTCCGTCGTCGAAACGAGCACCACCGACCGCGTCGATTTCATCGAAGAAGATAATGCATGCCTTCTTAGTCCGCGCCATCTCAAACAGCTCTCGAACCATCCGTGCACCCTCACCGACGTACTTCTGTACCAACTCACTACCGATGACACGGATGAATGTCGCGTCCGTCCGGTTGGCCACGGCTCGAGCGCAAAGCGTCTTACCCGTACCGGGAGGTCCGTAGAGTAGAGCACCCTTGGGAGGGTCGATACCGAGGTTGACAAAGCGCTCCGGCGAAAGTAGGGGCATCTCGACGACTTCCCGCAGCTTCTCAATCTGTTCTTTGCATCCACCAACATCACCGTACGTCACATCGGGCTTGTCTTCGACTGTCATCATCGTCACACTCGGGTCGATCTTAGGGGGAAGAGGCAGCATAATCTGGTACTTGTTGCGGTCGACACTGTATCACGGTTAGATCTGAACGGGGCGACAGAGAAGACCACGGCAACATACCCAACTCTCATGCCCTCCTCGATATCTGTCGGACTCACGCGCTCTCCCAAGTTGACGACGAATTTGGCGATCTGTTTAACGTTGATGACGTATTTACTCTTGTCTGAATCCTTCTCATCCTGAATGATCTTCGTGCACCGAGCTACCTGCAATGGCTGCTCCTCCGCCATACGTTGTCGGTCCGCAGCAACATCCCAGAGATGTGGAGGCGCAAGGCCGGTATCGGATTCCTATGCAGATCAGCAAGGGCAACTCCAGTCAAGGGCAGAACCGGAATATACCTTAACACCAATCTTCTCGTTCACACTTGCTTGTCTCTCCTTGATCTGTTTCTCGAGCTTCTTCAATGCGTTGGCGTAGGGAGCAGCGCCGTAGGTCTTTAGTACTTGGATATCCCTAGTTCCAGTTAGCCATCGACGAGACGGGAATGTCGGCAAAGTTGTAGCATCCGGTCAACCTACTCATCTGTGAGAGGAGTGATCTTCTTCTCCGGCTCTTCGTCATCGGCGAAGTTCTTCTGGTACTTCTCCCAGTTCTGGCCCGTAGCGCTAGGCATGCTGATGATGTGAGCCGGTGGCGAGGCGACAGGA